TGCTGAGATGTGCATAAAGTGGAAAAAATGTATAAATACTAAACCAGATGAGCTTTGCAGTCCTATTATTACAATCTTTATGGAGAAAGCTGTCAGTGGTAAGAATGAGCCAAGCCAATTCTTGCGTAATTAGTCCCATACAATTACATCGTATTTAGTGATGTTTGGCTTGAGCTGCAAGTTCTTGTGTATAACAGGGAGTTTTCAATGAGAACATGAAATTTAGATATCCAGAGTGAATACGTTGCAGTTAACCTAATAATGTAAAAATCTTTTCGTGCTCCTTTAGTTTCTGTCTTAAAGGGCATTGAAATCTAGACCTGGGATGCCCTTTTTAGCCTTTGCACAGCATCAGGTAGTGTTCTATTTTTGAGCACTTGCTAGTATTGAATATGAGGGGAGTGACTCTGGAAGGGTTTTGTAGTATTTGTGTTTTATTTCCTACTTTATCACTTGGAAGTAGTTTATACTCTCCTGTTTTTTGAGGGAGATTGCTGTGGCTTGAGCCATTGCTGCTGAGTGTTTCTCTGCTGTACCTAAACTCAGAATTACTTTTGCTGCCTCCTTGGTTCTTCCACTTCCAGTGGAGGAAAGCAGACCGGGCTTAATCTGAGCACAATCCTAAGAGCTCTCTAGCTCAGAGCTCAGCAATGGCACAGGTCGTCTCTTCACCTAAACCAAGCACATCACGTGGGACTTGGTCCTGCATCGAGCTGTGTGTACATTGATTCTCCCTGCTCTCCTATTGAAGTGGGCTTGCTATAGGTCTGGGATCTCTCATTTAGGCCTTGGTTTTCTTTGTTGGTTTACAATGAATCTTTTCTTGAAAAGGCAATGGAACTCCTTCAGTTACAAGAGTGATCGTATGCATCTGTGTATAATTCTGAAACAGCTGTCGGTTTTCCATCTAAGATGTATCGACTACTGTCCAAGGAATTTTGTAGTTTGGATGGTAAGTGGGATGTGCAATTAACCTTGTGTATCTGGCTCTTTCAGAACAGGGCAGTCGGACGGCCCAAAGGGAAACTGGGCACTGCTTCTGCAGTAAAGCTTGCAGCTAACCGGACAACCGCTGGAGCACGTCGGAGGAGGACGCGATGCCGCAAGTGCGAGGCGTGTCTGCGGACAGAGTGCGGCGAGTGTCACTTCTGCAAAGACATGAAGAAATTTGGGGGACCTGGCAGGATGAAGCAGTCCTGCATTATGAGGCAGTGTATCGCAGTAAGTGTACCTGTTGCTACAGCTTGTTTGGAGTATCTGTCTCCTGATGACAAGGTGTGGAACCGAGAACTCTGCTCTGAGTAGTCTCTAAAGCATATGAGGCAAAACAGTGTAGTCCCTGCCCTCTCAGTTCAGAGCTCTTCTTCCTGTCACTTTTCTCCCCCCACCCCAAATCTTAAACCGAAATGCTCCTAAAACTTAGTAGAACGGCTGTCATTCTCAACAATACAGAAGGTAGATGTGGAGATTATTGGTACACCAGAAATTAGCTCTCAAATCATACTGAAATTCTGGAATTTGGGGGAGAAGGGGAAGAGTGGGACGTTCTGATTCAAAGGGAAAAGATGCTGAGAAATCTTTGACTGGCATCCTCCAAGATTTGGCATTGGTGACCCCAGCTCCAGGCTACTTGAGACCTTAATTTCAATTTGTTTGCTGTTACCGAGGCATATAGGAGGGATCTGATCCAGGTGAGCCAAAGAGCCATCAAGCCAGGGTCTTGTCTTCTGTAGGGACTGGAAATGGCTGTTGGAGAATGAGCATCAGAACAGGGCAAGCAGGCAGTCAGTTTCCTGGGCTCCAGTGATACATTGCCTAGAAGCATCTTGAGTCATAAGTGATAGCTTTGTATTTAACAAATATTGACAGATTAATCTTCCATTAAGTTGTCAAGCACCTTTTGAATCTGTTGCTTTCATACTGACTATCACAGAGCTTCTCCTCAGGTCTCATGTCCACAGTGCCCCCATTCAAAGGTAAAAAATAGCTTCAGCTTTTCTCTTAATTCTTTGGAAGGTCTTGATTATGCTGTTGTTAAGGAGTGTGCTTTTCTGGGGTTTTTTTTGGTTGTTTTTTTTTTTTTAAGGAAAGGAATGTTGTTTATTCATAACTGAAATATCACCCCATCTATACTGATTTCTGTCTAATTCTTTTTACTGTTCCTTTCAATTAGATTTTTTTTTTTCTTTAATTCTGATGAGGAAACTGAAGTAGAGGCATTAAATGACTTGGTCTGACACTGATAAAAAACCTGATAAGCACTTAAGGCTTCCAGTAGTTGCTCCTGGTAGCTCACTCCATGTCCTGTTCTAAGCCATGCACTGTTCTTGACATAGAGGATTGGATTCGGCTCTGCTGGATCTTTCAGTAAAGTACATAGAATATCTACCTTTCCGCAGAGTGCTTTTGCAGCTCAAGTGTCTTTTCTTTGAACACTTGATTTCCTGGAGTGTGGCATGAATTGAACAGCATGGATGAAGAATTTATTATTCTCCAGGGAGAAGAAATAGTGAAATCGTGGAGGGATTAAATTAGGGCTGCAGTATGCTTTCTTGTCCTGGCTGATGAAGGAAACTTTCATACTAAGCTGTTTCACTCTTGATACACAGGCTGAGCCTTTTGGAGATGAACTGGGTTCTCTTCTGGCTGAGTCTAGTCATCCTCTCATCCCCTTTCCTCTAATGAAGTGTTTTTCTTCTTGGTATCTGCAGTTTTATTTCCAGGAGCTGTCGTTAGAGTACAGGGCTTGGTAGCCAGGGTACTCTGATTCCTTGTCCCACCCTTCCATGCACTAGAGAAGACCTCTGTGCTCTTCGTAGGTTCCCATTGGTGTAAATAGCAGGGGGAGTAATACAAATTCTCTCCAGAGCAGCAAAAGCACAGAAAATTAACAAGTTGAACTGTTGTAACTTTTAACGGTGCTTTAAGTTTCTATAAGCAATCCTATTGTCTTTACTCTTGTTCATTATGTTCTCTAACAATTGCGGTAGTAATATATTGTGGTACCTATCCAACAGCTTCCAGCTAAAAAAAAAAACCCAAAATACCGAAGCAAGGCTCTGTGGAAGTAATGATCCCTACAGTTCTGGGATTGTGCTTTCCTCTGGTTAATAACATTGACAATATTAACTAGACACAGACTTTCATTAAACTCAGAAGCCTTAAGAGAGCCTGTACTGCTGTTTGGAGAACAGGAAACTCCTCTGCATCACTAGTTCAATCAAGAAAGGAAACAGGAGTGCCTGGGACACTATACTGCATTGAATAGGTCTGAAGGGAGCGTGGGGGCTTTGTGCTGGGAGGACAAGTTGTGATAGCATGGCTGCTGTTCCAGCCTGTCAGCGGGACAGGGCTAGTTGGGGCACAGAGGAGATTCCCTAGACACCCTTGCTCCCAGCAAGGAAAATTGTACTGCTCCTGGGATGTTTGTTCTCGTGTGTGGGTATAAATACTTGTTGTGTGGGAGATAGGACAAAACAAGTGGACAGAGCTCTTACAGCTCTGGACAACTTAGCTTTAATCTGGTTTACCTGCTGGTGGAATGGGATCCTGGGGATTCCTATTTTGTGCTTGGAGGAAGGGTGGGAATTAAATAGCATTTGCAAAATGCTTTTAAAATGGAGCGTGGGTAAGTACTGGCATGAGAAAGCAGGAAAGTGTTGCTGTAGCTAATGTATCATGTTGGTGCGGGGGGCAGCACGCTGTACTCTGTAATGGCTTGCTATACTAGGTTTTTCCCTATCTGAAACTTGCTGAAGGATGCACTGTTGCTGTATGGGTTTGGTTTGGTGTGCAAGTATCCACTTACAGATTTTATTTGCTCCATCTACAAGAGATTCTTGCGGTGAAAACCCATCTCTCTGGCTACTCAGTAGTTAAGAATTGCAACCTAATCGATTGCATTTCACATTAGAACCAGCTTCTTATGAGGATCTTCCTTTTTTTTTTCTTGTAATGAGGCTCATACCTTATTGCCGCAAACCAGAAGTTTGTTCCTCATTAGCACAAAGGTGGCTTTTTAATTAGACTGGCATTCAGTGCTTTGACATGGGTGATAGATCTGTGAGATGCTGCAGTTCCCTTTCTACCTCAGCAAAAGACAGAAAAAAATCAGTGCGCTTCTCACTTGTGACACTTGCAGGAGAGGAATTCTCTTTTTAAGTGTCGGTGCAGTGCTTTTTGCAATGCTCAGGTTGGGAGCAGGGCCCTAGATAATAGACTGTCAGTCAGAAAAAGGTCTGTTCTTGGTTCTGTTGTGGGCTTGCTGTGAGACCTGGATTGTGTCTCGTAACATCTGTCTGCCCTGTTTCTAAAATAGGGGAGCTGCCAAATTGCTAGTCAGATTGTGAAGCTTAATTGATGTGAATAGTGATGTTCTAGGTTGCTTCTTTTCCCTCCCACTGTACACTAGTGAAGAGACTTGCATGCCAGTGTCTGTGTCAGCTCACAGATTTGAGGGACCCACCAAGAAAGCATTTTCATCCATCCCTGGGAATGCCCCATGAATCTGTGTTGCCACAGGGAGGGCACTTTCATTCCACGAAACATGTCCTGTGATGCTTGGTCTGGGTACCCAGCCCCAATTGTTACCGGGTTTTCTTGCCTTCATTGCTCTCCTGGTCTGGAGCCTTCAGCAGTTTGCACAATTAATCCCTATTTATCTCCTCTTTGAAATGAGGATACTGTAAATGCACATTGAGTTCTTCTGTTCTGTTCGTGTCCTGATCAAGACTTCTTTCTGATATGTGTGAACAGCCGGTGTTGCCTCATACTGCTGTGTGTCTGGTGTGCGGAGAAGCTGGGAAAGAGGACACTGTGGAAGAGGAGGAGAGCAAGTTTAATCTCATGCTAATGGAATGCTCCATTTGTAATGAAATAATACACCCAGGATGCCTTAAGGTGAGTACAAGGATGCGATACACGTTGGAAACAGAAACTGGATTAGTTATCACCTTAACATAAAAGCAGTGCACAGAAATTGGAAAGGTTTCACATTTTTGTCTTTGGAAACTTAAGTGAGCAAAGAGTTGGTGTGAGAAGCAGGGTGGCAGCCGTGGCACCCACAGTCCTGACTGGCAGGGGGGGGGGCCCCTGTGGTAACAAGCGCAAGGTTTCACATTTTTGTCTTTGGAAACTTAAGTGAGCAAAGAGTTGGTGTGAGAAGCAGGGTGGCAGCCGGGGCACCCACAGTCCTGACTGGCAGGCGAGGATCCTCTGATGTAACCAGCGTCCCCTGTAAGCAGAGACTCTTCCTTTGGACAGCCTCCAGAATGTGTGTGGATTCAAATGTCTTGCGGGGTGTGGTTTTGGTTTGGTTTTCTTTCTTTTTTGCCTCTTGTTTAAGGAGGTGAAGAGTTTCAGTTGAGACGGGCAGCTCAAGAGGACCACGAAATCTGTCTATTTTTGGATGAGCTAGTCAGAATCCCCGTATCGGTAGCTCCTTCCTGTGTTCCACAAAGTACAAACGAGTAGTTTGCTGTTCGTGTTTGTCCAGGCACAGATGTGCCTTTCAGTGGCAGCTGGCTTTAAAGATGTTACGAGCAAATGTTGCAGGAGGAAGACTGCAGGTCTAGAGAACAAACTGAGCAAGTTTCAGGCTGCAGGAGTGCTCACCCTTGGCTGACTTGAGTCCTGTGAGCAGCTATATTCTTTGCTGGTAACAAAAGTGTCATTTTGGGCATACATTTGTGTATTAGCATTTAGAAGCCTCCTTTCTCCAGAGCTGGTTTGTTTCAGCTGATCAGCCGTTTCCTGTTGCTGATTTGTTTATGGTTAAAGTGATTTGCCAAAGCGAATGTATTCTGACACACCGTGCCCCAGAAAGCAGCTTTTGGCCCTTCTGGGAGGAGAGGTATGTTCCTTATGTAGGCCCCGGGTGATGCTCTCCTGGCCTTTTATTTTTCTTGTGCTGTACGTAGTATTGCACCAAGCTGTGTGCATGTCATTTATTAGAGCAGAAAGTAGGTAGCTGGCAAACCAGAACTGTGGCTGTCTCCCTGATTCATGAAATTGGTGCTCACAGCTCCTGCCACAGATGGGCTCTGAAAGGGAGCTTTGCTTGCTTGGCTCTGCTTAAAACAAGGCTTCGGGGGGCTGATGAAGCAATGGAGGGAGCTGCTTGTTTTCAGAGGTACCTCAGTTTTGGCTTGTAGCTGCTGCTTTGCTATTCCAGTCCTTCCTCAAAGTGCCCTGCACTCCCCCATCTCTTGCTTTGCAGTGTCAGTGATGCTTCATGGCTGAGTCCAGAGGACATGAATTATTCTCTAGTGGCAGTTCAAGTATGGTTTCCTCTCCCCGTACCACATTTGGGACTAGTTGCACAGGATGTGGGTCAGATCTGTGAAATCAAGCAAGTGCTGTTTGTTCTTCTATGTATGTGTGATGTTCTGAGTGCTGTTTTGGTAACTAAGAACAATGTTGCTTCGGGTGTTTCTGGAAATTAAGCAGTGGGAGATTTACAGTGTGCCTTGTGTGTCTTGTATTTTAATTTCTCAGTGCTTCTGTTGAGCTGGAATGGTGTGGTAACTGGTACTGTTTATTTACTGAGACAAAAGGGCACCAGTAGGGTTTCAGGATTGTCTTGGAAGGCGAGATGAGGCTATGCACCGGAGAACAGCAAAAGGAAAATGGAGCTGCTTCCCTGGTTCCCTCCTTGCTCTTTATTCCCGGGTTCCTTGATTTTCTGGGAGACGAAAATCTGTTGCCATGTTTACATGTTGCTGGAGCCCTTGACATGGGCTTAAGCCCAGAGGATGGAGTCTGTGAATAGTCCTTGTGGGAAGAGCCTTTGAATGCAGATGCAGCCCCAGGGCAGCTGCTTCGGCTGTCCCCCAAGAGAAAGCCCCTTCCTGTCCTACTCGGTAAACAGGCAGTAGTAAATGCAGACTGTCAGTCATCTCCAATAAAATGTCTGGCAAATGTACTTTTGAGGGAGACTGGAATAAACTGGATCAGTGAAAGGAGGAATGTCCTTTCCTGGCTTATTCCCATGTGGAATGAATTCCCTCCAGGATGCATCTCCAAAGCTTGCAGAGTAGTTTGGCACATGCACTGGCTAATTTGTACTCCAGGTTGTTCGTGGTTTGAAGTCCATCTTCTTGCAGCTACCTGATTTGGCTATACTTGTTCGTAGTGCGTTTTCTCCATGAAAAAGCAGCGTTGGAGGATGGCCTCTGCGGAGATTAAGGGTGGCTCAGGTGCATCTCTGCTCTGACACTTGCAGTCTTCAGGGACTTCTGTGAGTGCCTCTTGCTGGGGGAGCCCTGGGTACCAGAGCACACTAGGTGCTTGGGTTGGAACTGTGCTAAGGACAGCCAGGATGTTCCGCATACTGAGAAGTCTCTTGGGAGGTTTCTGCCGTGCTTCTTTCCTTGAAAATACAATACTGACACAAATGCTCCTTTTGCTGAAGAGTTTCTTATGAAAACTATCTTGGCGAGCATTTTGCAAGTGCAGCATTGTTTCCAGAGGGAGCTGGTCAGATTTTTGGAGGAATATTGCCTTTTCATTGTTACAGAGCATTTGAGTTGAACTGATACTGATGAACTTTCCTTGATAAGTGTCAAATTGCTAGTAATGCTAATGCTGGTTAGCACGTTTGAGCGAGTGCAGTATCTGATGCTGTTTCCTTAAGAAAGGAGTTCGTTTTCCCCAGTCGGAGCCTGTTCTTTTTCATCCTAGATGGATATAGTGATAATGGCAGAAAGGTGGATATTTAGGTGTCTTGTCAGAACAGCAGAAGTACAAAGACCTCTTCCAGCACAGCTGCACTGCTGCCCATGGGTTCGGCCCAGGTGTGTCTCGCTGCCTGTGTTGTTTCAGTCTTGGCACTCCAGAATTCATGGCTCTCACTCAGCGATGTCAGACCGGCATCCTGGGGTCTCCATATTCCCTAACAAGAAGGCTTCATAGTAGTGTAGTCTCATGTTTAGACTTTCTGAATTGCTGACCTTGTGCTGCAGGTACGTTTCTTAAGATGCCTCCCACTGTGGCTCAGACACCCACCTGCTGTTTGTAGCAAACACTCAGAACTGGCTCCCACCCAGCCTGAAAGGCTTGGGACAGATTCAATGGCAGGTTTGTGTGTGTCTAATTAGTTTGCTTACAGTTCCTCACATCTGTTCAGTTCCTTAAACTTCACAGAAGGGACAGAGCTGTAATGCTTTCCCTTCAGTAGCATTTGTTCTATATTCAGTGCGGGAAATAACTTGTTCCCAACTTGGGCTTGGGCCAGGAATTGTTCCCCTGAGGCAGAGATGTGTACAACAACTCCTGGAGTATCTTACACCTACCATGGGAAAGAAGGTTCAAAGGCACACAGTTGTGATAAAACCAGTATTTAAATTCTGCCCACTTCATTTACTCATTTATTAACTCCAGAAGACTTGCTGAGAGAGACTGACATGTCATCAGTCTCACTAGATGGTGAAACTAGAATGGCTGCTGTCTGGCTCGGGGACTTGAGGAAGCAGCTCCCCTAAAACGAGGGCTTGATCCTGCACTGCTAGTGCGTTTTTGCTGAGCTGGGAGGAGAGGAGGAAGTGTTTCAGAAACATGAAAAATCTTCAGATCTTTGCCCCTGCCTGTTTCAGCAGCAGTCTCCAGCTACTGTGGTGCTGATGCCAGTGCCTAGCTATTTGCCTTGACAGTAGCATGTTTTTGTTGCCTATAATAGTAATAAATTAATCTTCTTTTTTTTCCCCTGAGGCTTATTTCTGAATATATAACTAAGCCCTTAAATGTGAACATGCCGTCAGTGAGCGTATTTATGCATGGAGGATTTTTTTTACCTTAGCTCTACTTTTAATCCTCAGTTTCATTCACAGAAATGCCTTTTCAGAAACACCTATCTCCTGTTTGGAAAGGAATGCGGCCTCCTATATGGAAATTCAGAAACCAGTAGCTTTTCAACTGCGTAGGGCAGGACTGTGCTTTTATTGTAGTGTAACAACACTGAGCGTGCGTCTTCTCCTTCAAAAAGCACAATGTCGCAGTCTCTCAGAGGTAGTGAAGTAGTAAGCATTTTGCTTCCTTACACTAGCTGGGTAACTGTGGGTGTGAGAAACCTTAAAAATGCCTTCATGTGTCCAGTCTTTTGAATAAAAGTGCCTGTTCTCTAGCTGACTTGGCAACCATCATTTTTATTGGCACATGGGTTGAGGGCTGGAGGCATGGGACTGCTAGTTCTGATCCATAAAGAAAAATATTTTAAGGAACACTTGATTACAGTGCAGAGTGCTTTGCTTCTAAAAATGCCGAACAGTATTAATGTATGTGAGAATGTGTGTATAGGAAAAATCCCTTCTTATTAAAAGATCAGGCTGTGCCTCACTCCGGGCGGCAGGGGGGACGGGATGGGGCTGAGCTTTTCAAACAAGTGGTGTGGGAGGACATTTGGAGATGGTGTGATTACAGTCCTGGGTTTTGGTTTGGGTTGGTGGGGTGGGTTTTTGTTGGTTTGTTGGTTGCTTTTTTTTTTTTTAAGAGCAGAATGTGCCCTGTGTTAATTGGGGTTGTCATTGACCTTCATAAAAAGCCCAGACCTGAACCCTTTGTCAAATACCAATTTGGCCAGCATGCTTTCCTCCCCTGTTGACATCAGAAGGGTAATTGTGCGGGACCGAGGGCTTGCTCAGCGCCAACAGGATGGTGCAGCACCTGTGGTGATCTGGGTTTCTTTTCTGCAGCCATTGGGAGGGCAGCAGTCAATCAGAGAAAATTACGAGCTGTACAGAATGCCTCTAAATGACCTGCCTGTAGACTTCTGCAGCTTTTTGCAGCCTAATTGTGAATTGAGTTGTGCCTCTCTCTCACCAGGTGAAGGAATCGGATGGTGTGGTTAACGATGAGCTGCCGAACTGCTGGGAGTGTCCAAAGTGCAACCATGCAGGGAAAACTGGAAAAGTGAGTTTAATGGGAATAAGTGGTGCTGGAATGAGATACAAAATCTCAAGCATTCCCTCTGGCTTGTAGATATAATTTTGCCCACTAGCATCTTTTGACTTTGTGCTTAATTCAGTTGAGAAGGAACTAAGCTGATGGCTTTCTGTTCTTTAATAGCTTTTGTATTCTTGTTCCATGTACCAACACTTCACCCAAAACCTGGGGAATATTTAGGTTAGTTCTGTGCACTGCTGCATGTTAATTTCTAAGATGAAAATACTTTTTAAAAAAACAAAATCCAGAAGCAGTTACGCAAAACCTGAAGTGCCTGTTGGAATTAGAGAAACATTATTTCTTTGCAAACTGAGACAGATGCTGCAAGTGTGTAGTTACAAAAATAAGCTTATGAAGGTTGAAACTACTTTCCTCTAACTCCTTGCTAACCATTTTGTCTGTTACAAACTGATCAACCCACCAGTCTTGGAGACAACTTAGATAAAGAGCTGAGAAAGGCACAAGATATAAAGTTTGTTTGTGTTTTGTGTCTCTTTGGCGTACAAGCAAAAGCGCGGACCAGGATTCAAATACGCATCAAATCTCCCAGGCTCATTGCTGAAGGAACAGAAAATTAACAGAGACAATAAGGAAGTAACAGATGCTGCAAAACGGAAAGGGGATTGTGAAGAAACTCCCAGGCGGAAATCAGAGGAACATTCCAAAAAGACTCAAGTTGACTCAATACTGCGGAGAAAGTCAGACGAAGTGCATCTGTGGAGGAAAAGGAAATTTGAGAAACCCCAGGAACCCACTATGAGAAAGCGGGTATGACAAAACACTCTTTTCATCTACTTACACAGATGCGCGTGGGCTGGTTGGGGCTGATGTCTCTTGCCTTCTGGCTTATAGCTCATCTTGAAATCCCAGATTGTTACAAAAGAAACTGCGATGTTTTACCTTCCTTTCTGAAAACTGCTAGTCTAACGGGACAGTAGTTCTAACAGCGACGCTCGGGTTGATGTTCAGAGGCCGAAAACATTGGGCTATAGCTGTTGTTTTATTCAAAATACTAGAAAGCCCACTTTAATTGAAAAGCTTTTACAAGGTGCTTGGGTTCCTTACAAGGTGAAAATCAATTTTTGATGGAGACTCTTTCATCTTTATCCACTTGGTGGCGCATGGCGGCTTGTTTTGTGGCTGATTCAGGGATGTGCAATACTCAAAACCCATCAGAGGACCTTTAGAAATGACACCTTCTGTAGCCTGCAGAGAGGAGGAGCTGCTCACAACAGCGATGTAGACAGCTTTTCCCTGAATTTAACAGTCAGAGCTCTTGGGCCAGGCAGGGACACTGAATTATCTTGTGGATTGTGAAATATGGCATTAGGGATATACAGAAATGCTGGTTTGCAGAGGCAGAAATGAGGAGCTAGGTTTCATGTGTCTCACAAGTAAATGGCTGATGGCTTTAAAATTGGAATCAGTGGCTGGTTTTGTATTGCATGTGTAGTTCACGAGGAGTGACAGGCAGTCTGCCCCGTGAGGCTTGACAGCAGGAACGCTACGATACAGTAAATGTAGGGATTGGGGTTGCTTTGGTGGAATGAGAGCGCAAAATTGAGGATACCCATTTGTGCATATCTGCTTTCCGGCCACGCTTTCCTTTTCCCATCCCTATGGACTCACTGCTGCATTTATGGATGGCTTGAATTGCTCCATGAAAGCCCCCCAGTGCATGAGGAAGGCACTATGGATCACCAAACCTTCATCAGGCAGCACAACAAATGGCATGTTTTGGGGTTTTTACTTTTCTTTCTTCCAACAGCTAAAACTTGGAAAAGAAGAGAAACTCTTCAGGAAGAAGGTACTTTGCCTTTTTAATAGATGTGCTCTCAATGCCTTTTAATCCCCTCTCCTCATGTGAGCTGAATGGTGAGCCAGTTTCTCGATCAGTCATGTCCTTGTGTCACTGCAGGCGTTTTTATTAACACATTTACATCTTGAAATTACAGAATATCTCTCTCCATGGAAACCTTTACACTCCAGGATAGTTTAGCTGCAGTGCCTAGTTTTATATTTTCTGTTCTGTTCTCCCACATTAAAATACAGCAGCAAGGTGTGTTTTGATGACCCAAGGAATAAAACTCTGTTTCTATGTTGATGCTTCACTCTTCCTGTGTGGTTGAATCTTGCCCCTGCCACACAGCCCCTCAGCAGTCTGTACCACAGCACATCCTGGAGTCCCCCGCTGACGCCCCAGCGAGCCAGGGGTGACCTGGCACGAAAGTGCTCGTTACCTCTCACAACCTGCCATGATAACAGAAGTCCGATACCTTTAAACTAAGTGCTCATCAGTACCCTGTGTGAAGGATGCTGCAAGCTGACCGTAGTCCGATGTTGTAATTTTTTTTTATTCTAACCTGTCATTAACTTACTGTGACCTCTGCCTTTATAATATGTTAATTTGAAGACAGGGTGATCAGCTTTCTCTGCTCTGAGCCGCACTCTGAAGCACAGGAGCACATCCACTGACTTGATCCAATTAGTTTATTGCAAAAGCATAGACCTTCTGATACAGCAAGTGTGTTCACAGCAGTTCACCTTTTCTTGCCAGTCCAGATCTCTTCTTATTAGAGCTATTTCATTTTAACAGTTGGTGGCTTCTTTCTGGCTTTTAGTGATCAGATTAGACTTGAAGTTGTCCCTGGTCTTGGTTTGTGTGTCTCTTACGCTTCTATCTGGTGTGCATCAAAGAGAGGTTTGATTAATGTGAGCAAGTGAAGTGCAGTTTGCTGTCGTGAGCAGTGACCGGGGCAGGGAAGAAGGTGCCAGCTAACCCCTGTCATCACGCGTTGCGTTGGAGGTCGTCTCAGCGTGAGGTCTCGTCAGGCTAACAGTGTGTCAGACCTGTCAGTCACATTCCCCGTTCTGCATGCACCAGAGGTGGGGGAAGCTTGAGAAGACGCAGAGGAGTTTAGTAGGATGTAAAGGAGTAGCTAAAGTGTAATTAAACGAGGCTGTGAGTATCCAGCAATAGGGGCTGCAACAGTACAGCCACCATGCGAGTCAGTGATTGCGATTCAGGAGGTTTCAGAACTTGACCTTTTGGCCATCAGGCATGAATGCGTATCAGGCAGTGTTTAAAGTGGATGCCCAGTGAATGTGTCCCAAGCCTGGTTTCTTCTGGCCTGATGGGGAGAAAGCTGTCTACAGGTTGCTGTTTATCTTCTGTATGCAAATCGTCCACTGTGTAACGAGTAAGGCCTTTAAATCTGCAGGATTACGCACGGTGAATAAATGCGTTTATCACTCTCTTGGAGTCCAATAGCTGGACTCCTCATCCATGATGGCACTTGAACTTGATACCTTTGGCCAGTGAATGTACCCCTGTGCTCGGATGGGTGGGGCCCAGTGCTGGCAGGGAGCCCGACCCCCCCCGGGCAGGGCTGCCTGTGGAACATCAGCATGTGAAATATTGCCAAGTATATTCTTGCTTGAATAGTCATCCCTTGTCTCTTCCTTTTCAGCGGCGATCGTGGAAGGCTCCAGATGACCGAACTGCCATGATCAAATCCCTGCGGCGCCTCAAGCAGGAGCCAGAGGATGACCTGCCAGAAGCACCTCCCAGGTCCAAGGATAGTGACCAGTCACGGTCCAGCTCGCCCACTGCAGGTCCCAGCACGGAGGGTGCCGAGCCCAGGGACAAGAAGAAGTTCAAGATGAGGCGGAAAAGGCGGCTTCCCAATAAAGAACTGAGCAAGGAGCTCAGCAAGGAGCTCAACCAGGAGATCCAAAAAACCGAGAACAGCCTTGCCAATGAGAATCACCAACCCATCAAATCTGAACCTGAGAGCGAAAATGAGGAACCTAAGCGTGCTTTGAACAACAGCGAGAGACTCCATAGGTTCAACAAAGGGTTAAATGGGACTCCCCGGGAGCTGAGGCACCAGCTCATCCCCAGCCTGCGAAGCACACCTCGGGGAATAACCCGGCCACCGCCTTCGCTCTCTCCTCCCAAATGCATTCAGATGGAACGGCATGTTATCCGGCCACCTCCCATCAGCCCCCCTCCGGACTCGCTCCCCCTGGATGATGGGGCAGCCCACGTGATGCAGAGGGAAGTCTGGATGGCTGTCTTTAGCTACCTCAGTCATAGGGACTTGTGCATCTGTATGAGAGTTTGCAAGACCTGGAACAGATGGTAAGGAGGGCGGGAAACTGAGCTAAGTCTTAACATGTAGCGGGATGGACTCAAAAGGGGAGTGGGTGATGGAGGCACTAATGCCTCCCAGAAGAGGGGTGCAGGTCATCTCCGAAGCTCTGTTGAGCCCAAGGAGAAGGGGTGACCAGCAGCTTCCAGAGAAGTAGCATGTCTTTTGGTGCTTTCTCAGAAACAGCAGTTTCCAGCATTTCTGGTGGGAATTGTGTGTGTGAGCATCGTAGGTGTCAGCCTGCCGGGGCTGTAACGCCCCGGAGCAGCCTGTTCCATAGTTAGGCACCACAATGTTCTTGCCTGCTGGAATGGCCAGTCTAGGTCATGCTAAGTCTTGGTGTCATTCCGCCCCCAGGACTTGCTGACTGCTAATGCAGTTGTTTGTTCAGTTCAGCCATTAAATACCTACTGAGATACAGTGAAGATCTCCCGGTGTTCTCCTCAGAAGGTCTGTGCTGATTGTTTCCCTGTAGAGGGTATGTGGAGAGCGATCCCGTTTGCTGCGTTCTGTACCAGCAGAGCTGATGGAGGAATCCTTCATTATCCTGTTCACTCACAGTGTGTCCGTTCGGTGCCCGGGGTACCGGAGTGTGAACGTTGACACAGTCGGTGACTGTACAGCAGCAGGAAGCATTAGTGGACAGATTTATATGTTTCACTGAACCTGCAGTAAAGTCTCTTGTTGGCTGTCATCTCGGACTCAACTGTAATGTGCACACAGACGGGCAAATTGTAAGAGAGGCTCCTTTCCAGCACAGTCTAGTAACAAACAGGGTAAATGGCAGGAAGGTTGAGAGGTTGATAATTTGGTACAAGATGATGTGTGTGGAGCGCCTCCTCCGCGGGCTTCTTCGTGTCACAGAAAGCTGGTAAATGCCTTTTCCATGTAAGTGCAGTATTTTCTAATGGAAAAAAATGACAAAATGCGAATCTTGCGTGCTCGTTAGGACTTCCTGGTTCTTGCCCTTGAAGAACCACAAAGAGCGCCTAAGCCACATAGATAGGAATAACATAAAAGCACGGAACAGGAGCAGGGGGATCTGTGTTACAAAATTCAGTGGTTTTAAGTAAGGCAAGCACAGGGGAAGGACAGCGATACTTAGAACCAGTCTTTGTATTCAGAAGGTAAGCAGGAAGGTGGGGCTTGTCTTCAGGCTAGGAAATGGGTTTTAGTAACTGCTGTGATGACTTAAAATGAGATCTGAAGTTGTTGACACTTGTAATTCTGTGGAAATAATTCCATGCTTTATTGCATGATATATTTGATGGAGAAACTTCAAACCTACGTAACACTGTGTGGTGGTGTGCTTAGCTCAATATTGCACAGCCCTATTTTTGCTATTTTCAGTTAAATGCTGTAGTTTTCCCTACTGTTTAATGACACCTTTTAAAGTCTTGCAGAAGTTAAAACAAGTGCCAAATTAAATGCTATTGGCTTTTTTTCTTTTTGGGTAGGTGCTGTGACAAAAGATTATGGACCAAAATAGATTTAAACCATTGTAAATCCATCACTCCACTTATGCTTAGTGGCATTATTAGGAGACAGCCTGTAACCCTTGATCTTAGCTGGACAAATATATCTAAAAAGCAGCTGAGTTGGCTTATCAACCGACTGCCAGGTAAGTCATGTGTTTTTTGACTGCTTCACTGAATTCAGCAAACCAGTTTGTATCTAATCTCTGAGGAATGACTATGGGGATCCGTAGGAGAGGAGTAGGTACATAGGAATGAAGCATCGGCGGGTTAAAACGGGCCCAGAGTAGTTACGTTGTGACTACTTGATGCGCTAGGTGAAGTAAATTGGGGCAGGTCTTTGTCAACAGGTAACGTTGCTGTGGGAGGTGCCTGTGCTGACGTGATGAGCGGAGGGGGAGAGGGGGGGCAGGAGGAGGCTTACGGGTCCCTGCTTGCCCTGGCATGCTGGGTGGTTTGTCAGAGTGGCAGTGGGCTTCACCCGACCTGTGCATGGCAGTGGAGGTCACCGCGGATGTCTCTCTGGCTAGGCCGCGTGCTCCAACTTCTTCTGTATCTGCAGGTCTTCGAGACCTGCTGTTATCAGGGTGCTCATGGATAGCAGTGTCGGCACTTTGTAGTTCCAGTTGTCCTTTACTCCGAACTCTGGACGTGCAGTGGGCAGAAGGCCTGAAAGACGCACAAATGAGAGACCTCTTGTCGCCGCCCACAGATAACCGGCCAGGTAACAGACGGGAGGAGCACGCGGGAGACCTGTCCCAGCCGCTCTGTGGCTTGTTCTGCTGCTAGTGCCCCTTGGAGGAAACGGGCAGAAACCCCCGGCGCTGCTGGCGGGGTTCTGGGCTTTGCTGATGCGTGAGGTGTTCAAAGTAGTGACTTGCAACACCTCCTCGCTGGAAGCCACTGGGTAACGAGTGATGTTCTCTGGCTGCTGAACAGTCATCTGAGCCACTGTGCTGGTTTTCTGTCTGACTTTCTTCTCTTCAGGCTGCAACGGGTGTACTTTAGAGAGTATGGAAACACTTTCTTCCAGTTCAGGGAAGGAGCAGTTCTGTGGGTCATGCCACATTCGCCCGGATATCAGCTCAGGTGAAATTTTGAGCAAATCAGATCTGCTTTCTGGCATGCACTGCACAGCCTACTGCTTATTCCCGACTCGTAATTCCGCTGGGCCCCTGCAGTTACTGTCATCCCTTTTGTTTTGAAATCAGGAGGTGGCTTTGTGC